TTGGAGAGATTGATTTTGTGCGTAACGGCTCAGTGTGTTACACGCGAACGTATCCCAGAACCCGCACCGCGCGGGTGTGCCACTTATTTTTTCGTCCGCTCAGCGGAAATTGTCTTGAGATATACATGCTTATGTACAAATACACTCACATTATGTGCAGTGCCGACATTATCTATACATATACATGAATATATGGCTGCATAATATGCACGTGGAGTGCAGCGGTTATGTAGTGGTGCCACGGTGATGATAATGTTAACGACCTCGCCTGGTATACAGGAGGTCGTGGGTTCGAACCCGACCATGACGCTTGCTGTATACCTGGAGTTTGAATATATTCCCCATTGTGGCATGGATTTTTCTCCGGGTCCTCTGGGTTTCCCACCACATTAAGAATCAACACGCATCTCGAGTATTTGGCTGATATTTATTTCCACGTGATAAGCCACTTGGTTGATCTATCATTTGTGGCCAGGTCGCTTCTGAAAAAAATCTCGGCGAGCCTTACCTAGTAGCATAAATAGTCGGTTAGTTAGCGTCCTGAACCACGAACCTGAAGACCCGAGTTTGATCCCAAGCCACTGCAAACATGAAACACAGATATTTTGAAATGTACTTATTTTCAATGAGAAAACGTGTGCATTTGTGTCATTCCTTCACACAAAGTCCTGGTCACAAAAGCAACGTTCGTGGGGAATAATAGCCATTTTCTATTGAGGCATAAACAATTATAAAACCACACTTACTACCCAGGAACAAAAATCGTATTACATAGTGAATTATCGGTGGCGAGTAATATCCGACCCAGTCCTGTATCCCCATCGTGGTTAAGTATGGTGACCACATCGGGGAGGCCTCACAAGCCAAAGAGGGAACGCACCTGGGAGCACGTCCATCGGGGAGATCGAGCGATTAAATCAGCGCGCGTGTGTGTGTGCAGGTGGTTATTGGATCGTTACATCGCTGGACCCGGATTCGATCCCTTCTCACGGCCAACACCAATGAAAATTATATGGACCTGTCCTGGGCCTCCCTCTGGTGCGGGTTGTAAACATCGCCACTCGGGAGACAAAGGCGGTCGTGTGCGGTGCTGGCCAACCCATCCCGGCCTTCACAGGTGCTCGCTAACAGCACTTGCCCCAAGTGCTCACGCAGGACCGTGCACGATGGCAACGGGTTGCGGCGGCATTCGTCCAGCAGTGGATTAGCCATGGCTGCTGATGACGACGACGACGATGAAAGCACCCCATAATTTAGAACGTAACTGTTTTGTTGTTCGTCAGAGTCGTGAACAAGAATACATTCTCTTGCTCTTTGCAAGTAGAAAAAAAAAACCCACGCAGAAACAGGTTGACGGCGATCCAGGTGAAGAGTCACAAGACTCTGGCCAACGCCAGAGGGCCTCCGTTTGGCTTCCGCTAATTACGAACATTAGAGGTGGGCGAGAAATGCCATCGACGTCGGCGGCCAGAAAGTAAAACGTGCCAAGACAAAGCAACCCTCCACGCCCCCCCCCCCCTCGCTCTGCTTCCGTCTCCTGTGCTGATGCTGCTGCTGTTGTTGGCGTTGGCGTTGGGAGAGAATGGGGCGGCTGGCTGGGTCCAAATCCACATCGTTCGATGCGCCTGAGAGAGGTTCTGATATGAGAGGATCTTGGGTCCTCCTAAGTGTTCGTTCTGGTTGTGGCCAAGAAAGCGGAGGCAGTGCTGGTGTGGTCCTTGGTTCTGGGTGTCTTTGCCTTATGTTCACAATGGCCGCGTCAGGTTCAGCAACGGCAGTAACAGGCTCATAATGTGTGTGGTGGAGACACCGACCCAGTGCTGGTTCGAATCTGAGTTTGAGCCCTGGATCTGAGTGTCTCTGTAATACATCCATAAGGGCCGTATGAGATGTTTGGTGATGGTCGTCCACATGTTTGTGCCAGCAGTCTCACGTTTATATTTTCGTTGCCATCATGCTCTCTGTCACTTTAATTTGTATAATTTGCTGCTTAGCGAACCGTCACAAAATGAACGTGGATTAGAAGTGGCAACTGCAGTGAGGAGTGGGAGCACGCAAGCGTGGACACTCGAAGCTCGGCACAGACGGATTCACTCCACAGACTCAACCCCACGAGTGGACAAAACCTCACCGTGGACCGAACCCACTGGCGTACGGACATCTCGTGGTAGCTCGCAGCGCTCACAGCCGGCTTCCACACCCATTGCCACTCTCACAGCCTTCATGCCACCCCCCTCCCCCCCCCAGTTTTGCTGACCAGCCAATACTGAACATCTGTGAAAAAGAGCTTTATAGCTCATCGGATTCCTCCTCCAGTCTAAATCAAGATTCCGATGTCACCCACCCAAACCTGTCTCTGTCTCTCCGCTTTTAGCGCCCCCCTCCCTCTCCCTCCCCTCGAGCTTCGAGAATCGTAGGTGCCACCCACGATCAGAGTCTGGCACGATGGGTCATCGGTGCCTGCAAACGGACGGGTGCTGAAGATCGATTAGAACAACAAATGCGGTGGGAATTAGCGGCACACGCGAAATTGTTGAATTCGCCCTTAAACGAGAATCACGTTGCTTTCTTGTCATGATGCGATTTTGCGTAAATACAGGGGCACAGATATAGTTAAACTATTGTCAGTGTTTTTACACATTTTTACTTGTTTAACATTTCCCCCATGAATCCCCCCGAACAGACATGCAAGGGGAAGATATTGAGCCTAATTCATTTTCTGGCGTAAAACTGAGTTTCCGCCAATGTTGGGCAGAGAGGAACTGGCAAATCACCCAGCATGCCGTGCCAATTTGGCCATTTGTCAGCTGAGATTCGTCGTATAAGCCATTTCCATAGAACAGACTCACTGTAGCAAGCAATGGCTTTAAGTGCACACTCACACAAAGATAAAGATCCCCCGCATAACCTGCAACAGACTGTTGGGGCAAGTGCTGCTAACGAGTAGCCCCGATGAAAGCTGGCACGGCACACGAGAGGGTGCGTGGTCAGCACCACGCCCGGTCGCCTTGTTTACACACCACACCAGGCTGAGTCGACCTAGGGGAGGCCCAGGACCGGTTCAGATAATCGTCACTGGTGTTGGCCGTGAGCGGGAATCGAACGCGGGTTGCCGGGTTCGTAGCGCAGCGTAGCGCTAACGGCTACACCACCGCTCCCCACAACACAAAGACAAACACACACGCGCACACACACAACACACACGCGCACACACACAACACACACACGCACACACGCGAATGCGAAGTGACCAGGTGGCCTCAGGGGTCAGGCGCACTGAGCCAGCACCGTTGCGACCCTGGGCTACGATCTGCTTTTCGGCCGCGAGTGATTAAACCGAGTCCCCGAGTGGAGCGAGTTGATGGTGTCAGCCCGGTCATGATTGACTGCACAAAACAATCACATTAAGTTTGGGTTTCACTTAATTTGGTTTAAAAAATAAAATGTTTTCTAGCTCTGAAAATTAAACATATCGGTTGTTGCCGTCACTGCCATGAATATTTCCTCCGTAACGAGGCATGAGGAAATGTGCAGTACCTCCCACCATCCCACCCCGATATGTTGTTTACAAAGGTCTCTTGAGGGGGGATGGTGTTTCACAAGTAGTTCTTTGATATTTGCTTCCACGGGACTCGTCTCTTAATGCATTCCACGCGTGCGTCAAATTCGCCAAAGCCACGCGGTCGCTTTCGTAGCCCTCCGATGAGCTGAGTCGGTGGGCAGCAACGTGTCCGCAGTGTGGCTTGTCGTGAAGACCCCCGGCCGTGGAGGATGGCCGCACACACAGAGACCTCGCTCTGTGTACAGCAATTGTCTAGCAAAGTCCCGCCAGCTGCCGTGGCAGGTTGGAGCCATGCGGACACACAGACTGGCTGACACTTGACTGTCGGATCCGCGATTGGTTCTCTGAGCACACGCAGCATTGCACCAACGGTACAATCATGCTCCGATGACATTAATTTAAGTGTGTGTTTTTATTCTGCTTATAGCTCAAGAGGCAAAAGTGGCCCAACGACGTGTATAACAGCAGCGTGAGTCGATCTGAAAAGCGGGGGGCGAAACTGTTTAACGCAGCGATTGCGTGGTGGCGATTACTCGCAAGGGTGCACTGATATTGAAGGGTGTGGGTGGTATACAATATATTTCAAATCATCGGTCGACACTGCTTACGGATTTATCATGGACATCCTGCGGACAGTGACGATGTTGTTTTTTTTGCCGGTCATTGCGCGTTTAACTTGAGAACCCACATCAGCGCAGGCACGAGGCCCTGCGCACGTTGTCACAGCGGGGGCGAATTACATTCAAATATAGGACACATTTTTATTTTAAATACAAAGTAGTGAAAAGTCACGTGCGCGCGTGATTTGTTTTTTTTCCGCAGGAGTTTTTAATTGGCAGTATTGAAGCCAATAAGTAGCTGTCAGAGGCAAAATGCATTTGCAAATTAGCAAATTGCTACTTTTTTCGCGATGGTCTTTTGTCTTTCAAAACATAGTTGGGCAACCTTTTGATCAATTTAACACAGTCGATAATAACACGGTGGACTTAAAAGGACAGCGACTATACATGCATCAGGTTACGTTTCTTCACAGCACACGAACAGAGAGAGCAGCAGAGAGATGGAGTGCGTGATGCTGTACGCCTTCGTGGGGCCCTGATGAGAACAACATTTGAAGAAAATGCTTTCTGATGACCAGTTTATAAATTGGGCGCGTGAATAGTTGCCAGCTAACGCGCCACTGCCAACGAATGCAGCCTCGTCAATGTGTCTGCTTTACCTCGATCAATTCTGTCGCTGCTCCATTGTAGCAGTGTCCCGAATAGCAAGACGACTTTATACTGAACAGTCGTTATTATTGGATCGTCTTTACGAGAGCAATCGCCTCCCCTCCCCCAGTTACAGACGGACGGGCGGACGGAGATGATGCATCAACGCTTTCAACCCAAGTCGGGACATGCAAATCAGTGTGCACACGAGTCATCATCAGCCGGCGTACCGTCCCGGAGTCGTTAGCCGAAGCGGACGCGCTGTCCCTGTCCCCGTGGCGATTTCACACCTGGGGGCGTAAACACAAACACACACACGTGGGGGAGGGCGGGAGGGGGGGCAGGGGGGGGGCAGAGGTCACCACTAATGAGAGACAGAGCCGGCAAACAACAGCGCCCCAACAGTACAGAGGGAGGCAGGTTCTGTGTGTCAGCGCATTGTCTGATGATGATGACGACGACGTCGACGACTGTGAATCCGGCCGAGTGCGAATCCCAGCCATGGCCACCAGCATCGGTGGTGAACACCTCAACCGGTCTGGAGGCTCCCATAGGTCGACTCAGCATTAAATGAGTACCTGGTGCCATGTGTAAACATCACGACCGGGGAGACAAAGACGGCCGGGCGAGGCCGCACCACTCCCTCCTGCGTTGTGCTGGCTAATAGCAGGCGTCCCAATTTCCTCTCCCGGCTCAAGCGGTGTCTCTGATGGCGTCTGTCTCTGATGGCGCGTGTTTATTTAGTACGCTCATAATTACATTCTCTGCGTGTATGTTTAGCATCCTGTACAGTATTTATATAAAAAGTTTAATCTATAATGATAATATTCTTTGGGTCTTTCGGTAAAGCCACGTAGACAGAAAAAAGAATAAAAAAATATTTGACGTTTAGATCGCAACACGAGCGGTCGTCTTCAGGAAAAGAGGGTTAGATTCTAAAGACAACTTGCTTATAAAGGTTTGAAACGGGCATCGCCCAAATGGCAGCAGCCAACGCCAATGCAAGCGGTGGGCAGCGACCGCGGCGGCGATCGTAATGTTTGTTTCCATTCCATTGCTGTAATTAGGCCTCCCCATGCCGTGAAGGTCAAGGGGTCAGTGTGCGTTGGTGAAGTTGGAGGCGGGGGTGGGGGTCCAGGCCAGGGCGGGTTCTACATATTATTATTATTATTCCCAAACGATGGCGAGATTTATAGTGCAGTGAGCAAACAATTGCGGCACGTCTCTGATTGCAATAACAATAAAGCAGAATTACGATTGATGATTACATTCATGATGGTGGTGGTCATGGCGATGATGTTACGATTAAGTAAAAGCCATTCGGGACATCACACATTTGACAGATGGTGGCGATGCTGCTGCTGCTGCTGATGATGATATTTTATCAGTAATCCCTCACTGAGTCAACTCATTTTGCAGAGAGAGTCTGTTTCACCCCCCCCCCCCACCCCGCCCCCCCAAAACAAAAGCCCCACAAACATTTTGGCCACGAATAATTTTGCTGCATAGTCACGGGAGGTAAATACAAATGGAAAGCGTCTCGAGAAAAAATAAACACCCACTCACACGTGGGTGTGGATCGCGCCTCTATCAAATCAAACTGATCTTACGAGCCTACTTGCTGTACTGCCCCCTAGCGGCAACGTCTCGCCGCATTGCGTGCACCAGCCCCCCCCCCCCCCCCCCGCATCTCCCAAGCGAATGTCGACGAGAGAGAGAGAGTGAGAGAGAGATGACGTTAGGAGATTAACGATCGGAGGCGACCGGGAGGTAAATGATGACGAATAAAGACGAGACGAGAGGTGCGTGCGCCGTCGACGATTTACGTTGCGTGCGATCAAAAAAGCCCGCGACGTCTGGACCGCGAAACGCGGGCAGCTGAAACATTAACGAAGCGACGGCGAAGACGGTGAAGAGCATTGTGATATTACCCCCCCCCCACCAACTCACCCCCTCCCCCAAAAATAATAATTAAAAATTCCACACAAGAGTCATGCAGTGTGGTGTTCATGTATACGAATATCATCATTAACACAAGGACTTCAAGCGACCTTTTTTTTTACCTTTCAATTATTTCGCGGTAATTGCCCTCCCGGCTAGGAACGCGCGCAAACAGCATTTCTGAGACGTCCGTCTGCAGCTCGGCGGCAGATATGAAACAAGAGGCAGCTGCGCTCTGTTAAATATGACTCCAGTGGGAGGGCTTAATTGGTTAAGCAGCTGATGGTGAAGCCTCTTCCGCAGCCTGTGTCCCTCTCTCTCTTTCTCTGCCCTGAAAGCCAGACCCCCCACCCCTTCGCCATCACCCCGAACACAACAAAGCCACTGCAGCCCTCGCTGTATCCTTCTCGCCGCTCCCGTACAAAGTGGCAGATGCCCCCATCACGCACATCGGTCATTTTAATTCGTGTTTACCCCCCCCCCCAAGCCCTATCCTCTCCCACCCCCCCCCCCCCGAAATGTCACCCCGATTGTGCCCTCGTCATCATCGTGACGAGACGAGGACTCGGTTCGAATCTCTCGCAGGGCGGTGCATCTCTTCCCTGCGTGTTACGAGAACGGTCCACGGAAGCAGATGTCAGAGAGCTACGGCTCAGTGACATCTGCTGGTCCAACACGGCGGTAGAGAGGGAACGCAGCTTCTCGCCCGCTCTGCCACTGAGAACAATATCGGTCGCACTCTGCACCAATGGATTCAGCAATCCACTGCCGTGCCACAACCCCCCTGGCAACCTCAGACATCACACTTCTAGCGAGAACGCATGGTATTTCCAAGCAGTCTCAATGCCTATTCCCAAACAGGCTCACAACCTGCTTAGCTTCGGAGATCTGAAAACGTCGGGCGCATTGAGGGCAATTTGTCCTTTGAATTCTCACATAATTTAAATTTTATTAAATTATTAAACAATAAAATAACGCAGTATATTAATTTTAATTCCTGTATATGAGGCACACATAAAGATTACAATTTAAGCAAAGGAAGTGTCTGCCTACGAAGGACTTTAATTTGCCTAGCTAATTAGCCAAGGGAGAATTTTAATTACGCAGGCCATTAAATAATTGTCTGTGCCATAATGTCCAATTTGCTTAGCAATGGATTAACCTCGCAGTCGTCCACTCTTTAATCGAGTGAATGTTGACTCAGATGTATATACCCACCGTGTTCTATGAGTTATACGACGCGCTCATTTCCCCTGTATTATCAAGCAATAGCTGGGGATGTGGCTTGTAGCCCGGGTTGGTGTGCGCGTGCGCGTGCGTGAGAGAAAGAAACCAGATCTGCAGAACTTTATTGACACCGGGCACACGTTTTTGCTGTTCGTCTTAATTTCCGGAGCATCTTCTCATCCAGAGAATACGGTATTCATGTAATATGTAGGTCCACCCCCGTAGACATGTAACTTAATGTATTTAAAGATTAAAATCAATTTTTTTTGGCACGCGATACGTGAATGAAATCGTGCGTGTCAGAATCGATCATAGAATATTTATGCAAATATTTTTGGGATTATTAGACAACAATCCGGCCGGATGGCCCAGCGGTCCAACGAGCGGCACGCAATCGGAAGGTCGCGAGTTCACATCCCGTTCAGGGCAGGGTGGGGGGGGGGGGGGTCGACTCAGCCCATCATCTCTCGAGGGTCGACAAAACGAGTACCACTTTGTGAGAAAGTTAACAGTTGGTTGTCCTATGGATACCTTCTCCCCCGCCAGAGAAACGTGGGATTTGATTTCTCACGCTGGCTCATGGAATCGCGAGTGCGAGTGAATGGTTCATGCGCCTCAAATCTGTTTGTGCTGCACGCATTGTACGCACGGCACGTGGTGGTGCCTCCGCAGTGGAGGGAGTGTACAGCTCAATAGCGAGGTCAGGGGTCACCTCAGCTCATCGTACATACAGGACCAATAAAACAAGTAACAACGACGTGGAATGCAATCGGGTTGGCAGTGGAAATCTGGTCCATTGACTGTTAAATAAACGTGTGAGATTGGGAGCAACTGCATTGTGCTTTACTTCACTTCCCTTTGGTTCATTTCGCGCGACCGGGTGAGAACACAAAACGATCAGGATAGGAGTCTCATTTGCTAAGAGGGACCTGGGCCGCCAAGTGACACTGGGTGGTACTCTGTGAGTGATACGACGAGAAGGATGGGTGGTCACCAAAATGACAACAACAACAACAATTAATAACGCAGCGCGGACAATCGACGCAAAACGCCGAGCAGAAACCACCCCGCCACATGAAAGCAATCAAAAGGACGGGCACGAAACACCTCCGAGCGTTTAAATCAAATCAAATGTCCCGTAACACACGTTGACCTCGGTGTCAAACTAGCGCGTAAAATTCACGGCCAAAAAGAATGTATTTGCTTTGATGCCATTGATGCCACGCCGTAGTTGGGGAGGGAGGGGGAAGGGGGAGGGGGAGAGCCACCAGCAGGGTCCCTCCCCTCTCCTAACGGCGGTCGCACGAGGTACGAGGGCCCCCCCTCGCCACGTGGAATCCCCGCCGCAAGGCCCCTCGCGATACAACTCGCGACGGGAGAAAGGTCGCCCCAGTCGGCGAGATGCACTCTGCCCACCCGACCCCCCACCCAACCCCTCACCCGACGCCCCACCTGACCCCCCCCACCTGACCCCCCACTTACCCCCCCCACCCAACCCCAACCACCAAACCCCCCCTAACCCCCCCACCCGACCCCCCACCCGACCCCCCACCCAACCCCAACCACCAAACCCCCACTAACCCCCCCCACCCGACACCCTACCCAACCCCCCACCCAACCCTCCACCCAACCCCCCCTAACCCCCCCACCCAACCCCCCCTAACCCCCCCACTCAACCCCCCCTAACTCCTCACCCAACCCCCCTAACCCCCCCATCCAACCCCCACCTGACCTCCCCACCCAACCCCCCACCCAACCCCCCACCCAACCCCCCCTAACCCCCCCCACCCAACCCCACACCCAACCCCGCCCACCCCCACCACGAGTCCATCGCTTGCTTCGATGCAAGCGTCTCACCGCGACGGCCGCTAATTGTATCCCGAGATGCGACTGCGGGGGTGCGATGGGTTAGGGGGACTCGCACGGCTACTCACGTTTACATTTGCATCGATAAGCCCTTTATGACGACACTGCAAGCAGTGTTTGAATAAATATTAGGGGGGGGGGGGGAGAAAAAATCAGCCCGCCTTTGACAAATGGTAACGGCGTCCGACAATCCGCGTGTAACATATGCGCATATTTTGTTTCATTGTGTTCCGTGATTGTGTTAAGATGCCCTATT